TTTACAGGAGAATCAATTCCAATTAGGCTCTTCCTTAGTCCATATGAACTGACACCAACATACCGTAACATTAATAACAAGTTCAGTGTGAAATACTATCTGAATCTTGTTTTAGTGGATGAAGAAGATCGGCGGTATTTTAAGCAGCAGGAAATCACCATGTACCGGCTTCTTGAAAATTCATAAGTTTCTTTCAAATCTGTAGGGTCTGAAACATGTGAACGTGGGAAAAGAGACTAGAATACTTTTGTTGCGTATCAACGTGCGAGTTTTACTGACTTTTGGACCAACTATGGTGACTGTCTTTATAATCTTCCATAAATGCTTCAATCTTTTGCTGCATATTGATCAAACAGTGCCATTAAAATGAAACGGGTTAATGTAAGGGTAGCTTGGCTATGACACAGGTTTCTTCATTATAGGATGGTTGTGTCTGAAGACATCGGTCTTTTATTCCGTTTTCTCTTTTGGTGGGGGTTTCTCTCACTCGCTGTATTCTATACTGTAGGCTTTGTTTAGTGTTCTGAAAATCAATGTGGAAATAGAGATTCTTGTCATTTAATTCTTTTTGAGAAGGAAAAATAGTATTGATTCGCTCAGGATCTTTGTGAATAAATTTCCTTTGTTGGATTGGGTCAAATTTTGTTTTCAAGCATTGGTATTATATTTAACTTCGCATAAAGTGTGGGTGCCCAGAATTAAGCCAACTATGGAGACCCAGATTTTTAATCAGGGACCAAATTGCAAAACTACGCACTAAGTTTTGGGGCTTGTGTAATTTTTATTTTTCTTTTGAAAAAGAGCATTCAGTTCAAATTCTTGCACTGAAGAGAAATATAAGTCCCAATTGAGGGGATATCTTCACCACAAACCACGAGTCAAATGGTGATTAGGTCAAACGAGTTCACCCACAAACCACGAGTCAAATGGTGATTAGGTCAAACGAGTTCACCCACAAACCACGAGTCAAATGGTGATTAGGTCAAACGAGTTCACCCACTAAAGAAAATTACCAATGATCTACTCATCTCACGGATTCATGGGTTATGACCCAAACGTGGGTCAAAAGACTTAACCATAACCCGTTTTAAGTGAATAAATTGGTCGTTGGAGTAGGGTTGGCTAGTTGAGTCGACCTAACAAGTTCATTCTTTTCTATTTGGCCGTGCAGACAAGTTTATTCTATGCTATCCAACCATGCTATCCAACCATGCTTTCCAACAATAATAATACAGGAAAAGAAGCCAGCCTATCTTGATCCTACAGATGGAGTAAGGAAGAGAAACAAAAACAGAAAACAATCCCAAAACCTAGAAATTAAAAAAAAAAAAAAAAAGGATTGGATAAAAAGAATGAAGATATAAGAAAACTATGCAACATTTCGCAGAGATAAAACGGGTAGCATGAAAATTTTTGTTACACCTGAAAACAGCCTCGCATATTTACTTTATTTGTTGCATGTCCTCCTCAGTTTTCCAAACAACGTCTTCAAGAGAGGTTGAGAGGTTTTTATAGAACTGTAGAGAACAAAAGTACCATAAGTAACTCTACCAAGGAAGCAATTTTAGCTTGAACTTGAGAGATGAACAAGAACATTAAGATGGAAATGTAAAGTTGTACCTTATGGAACTCCAAAGTGTCTCCTTTTGCTTTCCGCACCTCTACCATATGCAGTGAGGGTGCCACTTGAAAAATCTGAGATGTTAAGAATATTAGACGAGCAGCAAGTACAAACCAAAATCACTCCATTAATTCATTAAGCTTCATTGTCTTACCTCTGTGGCCACATTTAGGTTTCCTTTTCTCCCAGCTTTCGAATTCTCGAGCCTCAACTGGATGACATGATACAAACTAGTTAGGAAAGGTCTAACACTTACCATCCTAGCACTAGAGTAAGATTGACTCACCTTGTAATTTTTCTTGTGTACATCAAAGCCAAGAGGTTTTGCGGCTTCCTCAATCTTGTGGATAATCTCATTAGCAGGGCATTTAGATGTGAACCTTGTTTCCCTCTTGAATTCCTGCAGCCAACAGGCATAATTTGTTTCAAAACCATTAATGTAGAATTTAAAATTTATTATTTTGAGTACATTAGATTTGCCTCTGTTAACTATTGCATAGTCTGCCTGGTAACAATACATACTTATGACAGAAAAGAATTTTCAGAACTCATCCAATAACATTTGACATTAGATTTTTCCTTTTTTCCAAGTTATGACTGATGTCTTATCCTAGGGATGAAAATAAAAGACGAGAAAGATGATCACCATTTTATGGCTTGCAATACTTGAAAGCATTAAAGATTAGAAAAGCCTATAAGATGCAAACCTGTTCTGCATCGAACAAATTCCCGAGGTTTAACCCTCTTGACATAGAAATTAACTCGAATGCATTCATTGGTGCTGGCTGTACTTCTTTCTTTTCTGTCACGTGGTGCTCCTTTTATAATGTGAACAATATAAACTTTGTAAGAAACTCTTCAAGGACCAAAATAACTACACTTTTCCAACGCAATAATGTCAATGGTTTTATAACCAAAAAAGAAAAAAGGAGATAAAATAGGAACAACCATCTGACTCACCTCTGAATCCTTAAAAACAGCTTCCACATCATCCAAGTTTGTATCTTCTTTCTCATGAAACACAGGGGGCTTGTAACCTTTCTTAAACCATTCATCTTCCAAAATTTCAGGTATGGTAACGCGCTGTCACAGAGAAGAGAATATGAGATGTACACAAGTTAATTTGTTCTGACAGATCAAGCACTATGGAAAAGCTAGATAAAATCATGTCAAAGCAATCACACCCAAAGGCCAGCATACGTGTGCCAGGCCCAGTATGATTCTGCAAGATCTAAATGGCCCATCACTTAAGAGTTATCTCTAGTCAAAACATCAAAATTTTGTGTTAAAGCCAGAACCTCATACAGTTGAACATACTAAATATACTTACGGTCATAGGGTTTGGATCCAAGATTCGAGTTATCAGTTTCATGGCACCAAAAGAAAGCCAAGGAGGATAAGTAAACTCAGCAGCTGAAATCTGCAAGTATAGAAAATTTAAGTGGAAAACAGGAGATGGAGAACAATATGATAGCTGTAAAATAAAATAATAAAATGCTCACTTTTTTATACAGGTTCAAAAGATTAGAATCATCAAAAGGCAAGTACCCTGCAAGCAATACAAAGAGTATCACGCCACATGACCAGAGATCTGCAGTTGCCCCATCATATCCTCTGTCGTTAAGGACCTAAATAGGAAGAAAGGAGGTCATTAAGTACAAGAATTTTACAAGGAGATATTGTGGAAAACAAAAATTGCAGGATTTTATTGTTGTCCACACCTCAGGTGCCACATAATTTGGAGTTCCGCATGTGGTGTGAAGGAGGCCATCATCCTGACATTTTAACTTTGGGTTAGTAAATATTATATAGATCCCCAAAGAGACATAAAAGATGCACCCAGCATCTGCCCATTGTAATAAAAAAAAGGGGATATACACAAGGAAACCAACACGTATAGAAAATGTTATGTCAGGAACATGGCAAAAAAAACCAGTTGGAGAATAATAAGTAATTGGCTAGAACTAGTATTTAAAAATTTTGGACTAACCATGCTAGAGACATCTTTCCTTGTTGACAAAAATCAGAGCAACCTAACAAAATCTTACCTAGTTTGTTATTTGTTAATGGTGCTGCGCTATTATATAGATAGTCACATAGAAGCAAAAAATTTATGGGTGAAACATCATTTCCATAATGACACTGAAGAAGGATTGAGATATCAATTACCACAGTTTCATAATTATCTGACTTCCAGAAAGGAATGTATTATAATTACCCTGACTTGCTGGGATAGCGCACTTAATCCAAAATCTGAAATTTTAAGGTTGCCACATGCATCCAGCAGCAGATTCTCAGGCTGCAACAGATAAAGATCAGTATAATGGTTTACTAGTTTTCTTACAATCATTACAAACTTTGTCAAACAAAAAATTCATGTTTAAAAGGTGGCATGTTCAATCACCTTCAGATCTCTGTGGAAGACGCCCCTGCTGTGACAATAATCAACAGCATTAATGAGCTGGTGGAAATATCTCCGTGCTTCATCCTCTCTCATCCGTCCATGGTTTACCTTCAAAATAAAAGATGTTCAAAACAGTAAGCAAGTTCTACATTAAGTGCAAAGCCAAATGTATTAATCAAACCAATATGCAGGAAGAAAAAATGCAACAGGATAAGCTTAACAGCATTCCAAAGCTACCAAAGACGGAAAATCCAGGCACTTACAATTTTATCAAACAGCTCTCCTCCAGTAACAAACTCCATGACTATGAATATCTTCGTTTTGCTTCCCATCACCTGTGGATAGACAAAGTTGCTTGATAAGATAAAAATCAAATTATAAGTTTGCATATATTTCAGATCCATTTTTTCACATCTTTAAAAAACAGATAAAATTTTGATTAATTATTACATGAAAACAAAAGTCAGAACTTCCATATGGTCTTCAGACTTGGCAACAGAAAGACAATAATAGAAACTCATGCATATTGATTGCATAATTCTTACAAGAAGGGAAGAAAAATGAAAAGTTTGCTAAAAAATATACACTAAGGAAAAAAAAAAATCAGGCTTTGATAATATTGAATGGTATTGTAAAGAGTAAAGAATGAATTTTTCCCAAAAAGCATCCAAATTAATGGAATTTATAAAAGATAGAATGAGGCTAAATGTTTTTTGGACGAAAAAAGAAATACATCTAACTGATGGAAATTACAAATGGCCATCATAATGAACATGCAATGTAGCAAGGGAAAGCAAAAGACCTCATGTAGTCGAACAACATTTGGATGCTTTATCAGCTTCATTGTCGCTATTTCCCGCTTGATCTGCAAGAAGAATAAAAAAAAAAAAACATAAAAATCCTGATATAATCTCTAAACCATGAAAGTTCCTCTCATGACATTAAGTTATGATACAAAAACCCCAACTGGTTATTTTTAGAAACTACAAAAACAACATCATTTAAAACATTTTGTGAATGATATACAACAAACCTAAAAGATTAAAGGAAAAATGAACTTCTGCTTCAATTTATAAAGAACAGAAGCTGAAAATTAGAAAGCAAAGACAAAGAGAGATAAAAGTTACCAAATCAGCCATCTTGTGCCTAAGAACCTTCTCTTTATCAAGGATCTTAAGTGCCACAGGTTCCCCAGTCTCAGAGTTCCTTGCAAACTTAACCTTTGCAAATGTGCCCTCACCAATTGTTCTCCCTACTTCATATTTACCAACACGACGCTTAATTTTAGGTTGACTCATGATTGGTATTCTAGCAGTCACCAGAAACCTTCAAAGTTCAAACCTTTGTTTTAAAATTTCCTTTTTTCCTGAAACGCATTGGAAATATTACTTATCAGATTCACATCATTGTCTCCCAAACTAAGCAAACTGTTATAAATAATGCAGTAGCAGCATGTAGATATGATGGATGATGCTAGAAGTTGCAACAATTTTCATTGAATACAATTTAATACCAAGAAAATAATTGTACCAAATAGACCACTTTAACAGTTAGAATATTATGAACCTTCCTAAACAGCATAGCTAAACACTTAACAAAACAGAAAAACAGAGTGAAACAGTATAAACTCGGAAAATGTAGATTTTCTCATAGATCACAAAACTTAAAAAGCTGGAAAATATCTGCTCTACAAAACTCAAAAAAAAAAAAAATTGAATACAAATGAGAAAGGAGAAAGAATCCTGAGAATCAATAACTGTAAAATTTTTTTTAAAAAAAAGGCTAAATTGAGATTAAAAATAAAAATATTTCCCGCTTTTCTACAACCGAATCTCCTCTCAAATAAATGGAAATTCACCGGACAAAGTGACGTCTTCTAGAAACGTCCAAATCGAACTGAGTTTCGTGGATCAAAATAAAATGAAAGAAGAGAATGGAAAAAAAAAAGAAAAAGAAAAAAGAAATCAATCAACAGTCAGTCAACACCTTCCATTCCGTGCAGTTGGAGGAAGCACAGTATCTTCAGTTTCAGAGCAGAAAATCAAACAACGGAAACACAAAGAATTGAAAGTAAAAATTATATGCGTGATGGAATGAATTGAACTAAAGAATAAAGAGGATGGAAGTACTTGGATTGAAGAATTGAATAGATAAGGCGGCGATTATGGAGAATGAATGAATCGATTTTGCTTTGCGGAAGCTCAAAAAGCAAATGAGGCAAAGAAAGCAGGCAGACTCTGATTTTTTGGTTGTTTTCAAAGCTTTTTTAAAAAGGCAATTGTTTTATATGTAAAATTTTTACTAACAAATTTTAAAATTTTATTAGTGAGAAATTTAGAAATTAATTTTGAAAAGGTGTTTTTAAGTAATATTAAAGAAAGCTTAAACATATAATTTTTTTAAAATTTATTTAAAATATTAAATTTTGAATATTTTTAACAAAATTTTACAAGATTTATGTAATCTATACTTTTAGACATATAAGTTAAGATTTATTAATTAAAGTATCTCTAATTAATTTCATATAAATTTTTATATTAAATTCATATCTTTTTATAGATTTTAAATAAAAATATTATATTA